TGATCTCCGGATTCTCCTCCCAGTCGACGTACTCTCGTCCTAGCGGTGTAGTACCGGGCCCAGCACCTATCGACAGGAAAAGCACCGCGTTAGAGCTCGGATGGGCCACCTGCACAGAGGGACCACACCGCCACCGACATGCGTATGAAGAGCTGAGGGACGCTGTTAGCACAAAGAGGAGGGACTGCGAGTAGGAGAAAAAGCGGCGCCGGGAACAGCAAAAGACTTTTAATGCGTGCAGCAGAAGCAGAGACTAAAGACACAATTTAAAAGGTTTTGCGCGCCACTTGTCTTTCTGTTGTTATCCAGAGGAAGAGAGCACTCAGCGATCACACCAATCAACGGTAGGTACAAATGAAACAAAATATATTCAAACGATAAATGTTTTTCGGAAATGTTATTTAAAATGATTTACATCAACACATTGCAAACAAAACAGTGTGCAAACTAAATGCTTCTTTATAATGAAATTGACATAATTGTTTTAATCTTTGACACAAAATGGTCACAACATCAGTAAAGAACGCAAAATACAATATTTCGAGACTTATTGAAACAATCGAAGGGTACAAAAGACCATCGTCCACATATTATGAGCCAGATCATCTTTCACAAAAGACAGTTAAACGAAATATCTTGGCTATATCGTGGCTCAGATGTAAATTTACTTGCCTATTGAAGATCTCCAACGTGATTTTAACTGCGGTTAGTATAAAAGTATTAAAATCGATAACTTTTGATTCAAGTGTTATCCATTTTTCCTATCAGCTACAATACTATGCCTTTTCCAAAGAGTGTGTTTTTAGGTGTTTAACAAAGTGAGATTTTTGTGTAAATTGTTGCTTGCAGATGTCGCAGTGGTTAGGTCTCTCCCCATTGTGTGTCCTGATGTGCCTCCGAAGCGAACCTTTTGCAGAAAAACTATAATTGCAGATGTCGCACTGGAAAGGTCTCTCCCCAGTGTGTGTCCTGATGTGTTCGACGAGAGTTTTTTTTATAGCAAAACGATGGTTGCAGATTTCGCACTGGTAAGGTCTCTCCCCAGTGTGTGTCCTCATGTGTGCGACAAGGTTAGATTTGACAGCAAAACCCTGCTTGCATATGTCGCACTGGTAAGGTCTCTCCCCATTGTGTGTCCTGATGTGTCGGACAAGGTCACTTGAATAAGAAAAACGCTGCTTGCAATAGTCACATTGAAATGGTCTCTCCGCAGTGTGTGTCCTGATGTGGGCAACAAGGGTACTTTTTATAGCAAAACAATGTTTGCATATGTCGCATTGGTACGGTTTTTCAACAGTATGTACGCTCCGTTCTGCACCATTCTGCTTCGCCTCGACAGCAGGTGCTTCGTTCTTGCGGGCGTCACTGGGGTCGCCGTTCGATGCCAGTTCGCTACCCGCCGATTGCTGACTGTCCCCTGCGTCGCCCTCCAAGGCCCTGCTGTCGGCAATGTCCTCGGGGTCTTGTTCGCGGCGGCCGCGGAGCGAGTAGCACCCAGTGACTACTAGCCTCAGCTGCTTGTCCTTGACGCCAGCATTGGGATCATCGCCGTGGTCGACAGCGCCCGTCTCGGCCTTGATCTCCGGATTCTCCTCCCAGTCGAAGGATTCTCGTACAGGTGGTGTACCGGAGTCGGCATCTGTCAACAGCAAAAGCACCGCGTTAGAGTTCGGATGGGCAACCTGCACTGGGGGACCACACCGCCACCGACGTGCGCGTGAAGGACTAAAGGAAGACACCGTGACCCCAGGGCGAAGAAACTACCATCAAAAGCAAGAGAGGCACCTGCAGTAGCGAAAGACTTTTAAGGCGTGCAGCAGAAACAGAGACTTAAGACCCAATTTAAAAGGTTTTGCGCGCCATTCGGCTTTCTGTCGTTATACAGAGGAAGAGAGCACTCAGCGGTCACACCAATCAACAGTAGGTAAAAATGAAACAAAATATATTGAAACGATAAATGTTTTTCGTAAATGTTATTTCAAATGATTTACATCAACACAATGCAAACAAAAAAGTGTGTAAACTAAATGCTTCTTCATAATGAAATTGACAAAATTGTCTAAATCTTCGACACAAAATGGCCACAACATCAGTAAAGAACGCAAAATACAATGTTTCGAGACTTATTGAAATACACTAGAAGGGTAGGAAAGACCATCGTTCACATATTATGAGCCAGCTTATCTTCCACAAAAGACAGTTAAATGAAATATATCGGCTATATAGTGGCTGTGACCTAAATTTACTTGTCTATGAAAGATCTCCAACGAGATTTTAACTGCGGTTAGTTTAACAGTATTAAAAGCGATAACTTTTAATTCACGTGTAATCCGTTAATCAAATCAGCTACAATACTATGCCTTTTCGCAAGAGTGTGCTTTTAGGTGTTTAACAAGGTAAGATTTTCGTGTAAATCGTTGCTTGCAGGATTCACACTGATAGGGTCTCTCCCCAGTGTGAGTCCTGATGTGAGTTGTCAGGTTAAATCTTGTAGAAAAACGCATATTGCAATTGTCACACTTAAAAGGTCTCTCCCCAGTGTGAGTCCTGATGTGTTTAATGAGGGTACTTTTTACAACAAAACGCTGCTTACAGAAGTCACAATTGTACGGTCTCTCCCCAGTGTGTGTCCTGATGTGTGCGACAAGAGTACCTTTGGAAGCGACACGTTGCTTGCAGATGTCACACTGGAAAGGTCTCTGGCCAGTGTGTGTCCTGATGTGTTCGACAAGGTGACCTTTTTGGGTAAAAAGACTTGTGCAGATGTCACACTGATAAGGTTTATGAACAGTGTGTACGCTCTGGCCTGCACCATCCTGCTTCACCTCGGCTGCATCGACGGTAGGTGCGTCGTCGTCACAGTGTGTCTTAAGGTGTGCAACAAGGGAACTTTTAATATCAAAACGTTCCTCGCAGAAGTCACACTGATAGGGTATCTCGCCAGTGTGAGTCCTGATGTGCTCAACTAGATTCCTTTTTTCAGCAAAAACTCGCATACATGTTTCACATTTGAAACGCCCCTCACTTGTGTGAACACATAATAAATGCTCTTCCATTTTAGCTTTCGCATGAAACATTTTGCCACATTGTTTACACTTAAACCCTAAATTGGCGCGTTTCCGCAAATGTCCTTTCATACAACTATCTTGATGGTTCACTGCGTCGCTTCCAAGGATGTTCTGGGGGTCACGAGCGCGGCTGTCGCGGAGCGAGTAGCACCCAGAGACCACCAGTCGCAGCTGCTCGTTCTTCACACCGTCGACGCCGTGGCCGACAGCGGACGTCTCGGCCTCGGCCTTGATCTCCAGATTCTGGTTCCGGTAGGCCGACTGTTGTCCTGGCGGTGTACCGGTACCTGTCGACAGGAAAAGCAGTGCGTCAGAGCTCGCAGTGCGACTGCGCCTGCCGCTGAGGGACCCACACCACCACCGCCACCAATGACATGCGCTTGCTGCACTGATGAGGCACTGCAGCGAAGAGAGAGAGCATGGCAGCAGAAGCAGATGCAGGGCCTGCAACAAAAAGACGTGTAAGGCGCGCAGCCGAAGGTGCAGTCACGTTTAAAAAGTGCTTCAGGACTGCCAGCACTGAAGGGCCGACACCGCCAGTAGTGTGCGCGCGAAGGACTGGCGCTGATCACCCCACGGCGGCAGAAAACAAACGCAGTGCCTGAAACAGGGGCGTAAGGATCATCGGAAACTGAAGCAAACCCTGCGAATCTTTATTTTTGTTGACGGCAGGAAATATCTCGTTGCTTGCTCACAAGGTCATTGAACGAGGTATCACTTGGAAGAGGAGAGAGCCACGTCGATCCTTTTAAAACAGTCAGTGTCCTGCGGGCTCATCACCTGCAACAGTAAAATGAGGTTCGCGTTCTTTTTCAACTGGCGCCGCGCCGGGCTGGTCGAAACACACCGCACTCGGTGGATCCCCGTGCTGGCAACACCCTCAACCCCGTCTCTCTCTCTCTCTCTCTCTCTCTCTCCCACACACACCATTGGTAGTCTCCGTATTGGCCTCACGCAGGGCGTGTCCTGATAGAGGGGGCACTTCATCAAGCGCAGAGGAAGGGCGGAGGGACCCGAGCAGGCAGCCGAGGGGTGTCGCGTTCATCATAATTAATTGAATGTTGTGGGTCGGGGGCGGCGGTTCGGGTCGTCGTCGAGGGGCGGACCAACGCTCCGTAAAGGGTTGACGGCGTCGTTGACGTGTTTCTTCCCACGACACGCGCGGGGCGCCGCCGCCGCCCTGCTGGAGATCAATTCGTCCAGAGACGCCGCCGCCGGCAGACGGCGCGAGTCTGGTAATATAAAGCGATTTCACGACAGTCAGTCGTCATGGTGACGTCACTAACAACGCTAACGAGGAAGCGGCATATGCATGTGGTGAGGGTCCATCCGGCGGCGCGGGCCAGGGCCCTCTGCAGGGTGCCGCTGGCGCCGCGCGCCCACAGATTAACTGATGGGGCTTCCTGCTCCACACGCACCCGTGGCACCGCAAACATGCTGGCAAACAGCTCGGCACGGAAACGGTTCAACGAGACAGTCTGGCCGACAGTTATTTTTGCCTGGTGGGGTTTCTTCCTCGAGAAGCTTTTATTGCCTGATAGGGTTTCTTACTGGAGAAGCTTTAGCTTCGAAAGTAATATGCTTTTCTCTCTCGAATTGGTATAGAACGCGACGTGGGGGAAGAGCATAAATTTTAATTTAGCGTTTTAAAACACGGGAAAGCGGTAAACCATAAATTTAAAAGAACAAAACAAAACAGAAAAAGCACCCACGTTCCACCTAAAAATTGAAGGCCCGCATTTCTCCCGCGACTGTAAAGATATCACCAACGCGCGCGACCGACGTCGTCGGCCCACCCCCGCGCGGCTGAGCCGGAAGGAAAGCTGATACACATTTTTGACATTAAATTACGACTGGCGGTTTGGTGTGGCGGCCAAGCAGTCGCTTCCTCCCGCATATATACAGAGATACGCCACACAGGGTCGTTTCAATTTCATTTTGGGTGCATGATCTTCGTCTAATTGGTAAAGCAGACGTCATGCTGGGTCACACGAGGCATATCATTAACGGGATATATCCAGCGCTCGCCCGGGCCGGGGCAACAAGGGCATTGCCTGCTGTAAAACAAAATAAAAAGGTGCTGTACCCACTTTCGACGTTCAAAACTGACCACAGCTTTTCAGAAATCTATTGCGAAAGAAGTCAGACTCTTCAACAAAAGCAGTTTCTTCTAGGAACTTATTCCGAGAAACACTTCCTCACTACCCGCATTTTGGTTGGGGGACAGGGTGGCGAGGGGAGGAGGTGGGGAGGGGGATGAGAAATCGGCAGCAAGCTCGAAGAAGCTGCCTATAAGGTGTGCAATTTGCTGTACAAATTCCCTGTATAGTCAACCCGAACTACCCACCTAAACCCCGTCAGCCGGACTTGAAACAGCGCCTGCGTCTAATGGTTCGACAGCACAATGCACGCGTATACGTTGAGAACTACGCATTTAGTTATCGCTGTAGAAACGTTTTGTAAAGACTGATTCGACGGCCATTGCTCACTCCCCTCGTACGCCCATGGCTCGAATGAGGAGTCCATTAAGGCGTCCCATGGCGTGGCGCGCGGACAATTAAAACGGGACGCCTCTGCTCATCTCGTACAATCTGCCATGGGCCGCGACCAGCAGGCCTCCAGCGTCTGATTGCGAACAGGAGTGCAAAAGTTCCCTTTATTATTTGTCTAGTTTTCTGCAGAACATTCGCATAGAAAATACATAATTGTCTTTCAGCTGCGTCCACTAGCCAAGCCATAGCCGGTTCATGGAGGAGGGTAATCAGGTGTTTCGTTGCAGGAACGTTGCAAGTGTAAAGTGAAGGCAGTTTGACGGCCTAAGTAAAATGAACATAAGAACATTGAAAACCTCTTGCGCTTTAAACTACTGAGTACGTTGCTCTGCGGTGACGAAGGGAACGAAAAGAGGAGAGGAGGGCGAGGGAAGGGTGATGAAGAGGTACAGAGGGGAAACGAAAAAGGAATCGAAGAAACAACGCAAGTTATCCGGATCAGACGAATCAATTCTGTCGCGCTGAAATATAGATGCGCGCCCAAAATGACCGTTCACAAATGCATGAATCTGGGGGAAGTCACTGTGTGTGTCAGAAAGAGAGACATGGGGAGGAGTGAAGGAGGGGGAGGGGGTCGGTCAGCGCAGAGCAGACGAGACAAAAAAATCACACTGAGTCGGCGGAAGAGAAAAAAAAACCACTGACGCCTGACGGTCGTACCGTTAAGGAGTAGTTGATGACAAGGACGAACTACGCGCTGGCCGCCGCCAATGAAGCTAGGCTAGTGGCCAACGCTGTCCTCGCCCACACTGCACTCGCATCGCTGGAATCCTGGCTAATGAGTAAATTGCTCTTAAGAAGAGATTGGGGCCCTGGGCTGGCTGGGCGCGGCCGCCGTCGGTCAGCAACAGCTGCGTGCGGTGGGTGGGAGGCTGCTGCCAGCTGTTCAGCTAATTGTCGACCCGGCAATCACAATAGCCTTGGGAAAGTCACTCGCCGGGGTTGAACGCGCTCAACTTTCTTGGTCCTGCAACCCTTCCGGTAAAGAAAAAAGGTGATGAGTCGCTTCTCTGCAGCGTTGCGTCAGAAAGTTTCAGTTTCATGCCTGTGTAATAAAATGCAACAGGGTCCTAAAGGTAGTAAAAATTATTGACGCCTACATGATCCAATGAAAAGTCATGTCGAAGTTTGGCTAATAGTCTTTGAAATCATCAAAAAATGCTACAATAACTATCATGGCAACCAAGAGGGAAGCGCTTTGATTGGTACAGGCAATTCCATGAGAGAAATAGTGCGTCTGAAAGTGTAGAGGTAAAATTGAAATCATTCAAGCGCTGCGCTGCCTTAGAGAAACAATAAAAGGAGGGGGAGGAGAGAAGAAAGAACCACCGAGAGGAAAGAATCCCTCACACTCCATGTGTGAGTGTGCGGCCGTTTCGATGCGGCGAGGCCGTGATAGCCCTGCCGCCTCCCCGCATATAAATGTGTATCGTCATCTACGTAGCAGAGCCGCCCGACCCAAACCCGTGCAGGGGCGGAGGCGCGGCCCCGAATATGTACATGGCGCAGGAGATTGAGCGGGAAAACTCAAGCGGGAAAATACAAACGCACAACGCGCGCACGCATACTCCCGTATCACGGTGCCACATACGGGATGAGATCTGACCCTCCTCCTCCCGCACCCTCTAGGGCTGCAGCAAAAGGCAAAGCCAGCAGCCAGCGCGCGCTCAGCTGAGCAGCCCGGCGCGGCCTCGTTGTTGTTGCGAACATGGATTCATTTGCCAGCTATTGCCCGGCCCGGCCGGCCGGCTCGCCTCTCCGCCACCTGGACAGTCGGCCTAAGGGGAGTTATTAACATGTGCATGTTTATATTTCTCAAACTCATCTCGCTTTTTCCCCTCCGCGGCAGTACGAAACACAGACCTAAAGCGCGCAGGCAAATACACCTCAAAAGAACGCGGCGTATCGAGTACACAAATACAAAACCACGGAAAGAAGATCCCTTCCACGACGTGGGCACATGGTGGCCATGTCTAGCAGCGAAACGCCACCCCACCCAATCTTTATGAGATTCAAAGTGCTAACATAGGTCATCGTGAACTGATAGAGGTGTACAAACGTAGTAAGCAATGTATAATTAAAATTTGCGCTGGTATTTTCTACCGATTAAATGGAACGATAGTAAGATACCACCTTTGTCCCTGCGGGATCCAAAACTTGCTTGTATACTTTTAAAAACAATTCGCACCACTCTGGGCGGCAGCGCGCCCGCACCCACAGTGGCCTCTGCTGGGGAATGATTCCGCCAGCAGAGGAGTGTTTTGCAGCCCCCGATTGTGTTTGCGCGCCCCACGTTGTAGTAGCCCACAGCGGCAGAGGGGAGGGGGCGGGGGCAGTATTGTCGTGCAAAAGCGGGGGCGGGGCGCGGCGGCCCTCCGCCGGTCGGCCGTGTGGGGGGGCCCCAGGGGCACCATTGGCCTCCGCTCTCTTGGCGAACCGGCAAAGCCGCGAAAGCACCATCCCTGCGGCGGAGCGGGGGCGGCGGCCGGGGCGACCAAAGCCAGCCCGCGCTATCATATCTCCACGCCACGGCGAGCCAACGGCAAGCAAGTCCAGAGAGGGAGAGACAGTCCGGAGTGTCAAACTGGCAGGTAAACAGACAAGCGGCCAAGTTAGGTCCGAGGCAGGGGTTGGCCGAGAGCGGAGCCGGCTGGCGGCCGGCCCGAGACAAGCAATACCAAATCACTTTTTCATCGCGCGGGGGGCAAAAATGATTTTGGGTTGGTACGGCTGCTGTTACTGCTGCCCCACAACGAGAACCCAAGTTTACACTTGTAGGTGTGTCAAAGCCACGAGGGGGCACCAACTTCAAATACTC